TGGGAAAAAAATTAAAACTTGAATCACAGTATACAGAATATTTATTTGTGCAGTGTGCCTAAAACAGGCAAACGTTGTCATATTTTAATTTGTAATCTAACAGATGTCTAACAACAGTCCACAAATGTGTAGTCATTCATTCCTTTCTCTTTAATGTCTATTTTTGGGCTATTGTTAGATGTCTGTTAGATTTTTACAAACAGCCCAAAATTAGCCCTGTAGTAGCCATGATTTTTCACGTCTATTAAATATCTTTTAAACACACACACACACTCACGGACTCAAAAATCTTCAGGTACTATTGTGCTTGATTGCTTTTCTAGCCAATAGAGTGTTTAATGCTGGTTAATGTGGTTTACTTTGGTGGTAAAGCATTTTTAAATCCTTGCTATGCAATAGCTGAGGTGTTTAATGTTGCTTTTGTATTTGCTGGCTACTCCTGTGCTCTGGAGCTCTTGGGGAATTTACTAATGTGTTCTGGGGGTTGCCAGATCATTGCTAAGTAGTTACTAAGGCAGTGTTTCCCAGTCCTGTTCTTGGAGGCACACCATTTTCAAACTCTTCCTTATCAAATACACCTGAATCAACTCACCAGAACATTAGAATGGACCCCGAAAACAGAAATGAATGGCTTCGATAAAGGAGACATCCAAAATATGTACTGTTGATGTGCCTGCAGGAACAGGGTTGGGAAACACTGTATAAGGTGCACTGCTGAGTTTAGAGCATTACTATGCATTATATGTGGTCGCTGAGGTGTTCCTAGGTAGTTGTTATGGTAATGTCAATTCTATAGTATGCTTTTGCTTTCTAGCCCAAGTAAAAAAAAAAAGTTAAATCTATATTCATTCTGTTTGTAAGCACAGCAATAATTCCCCTTTTATGCAAATTCATGGGATTATTTTATCTTTTGTCAGGTAGAAAATTAACAATCTGTTTGATTTGGGGCATGTTCATAGCACAAACAATGCAGGACTATTGACATTAAGAAGATTGATATTGTACTTTGTGTAGTTACCTGACCCTAAATAATGATAATGTGTCTAAATTAAAGGTGTCATAGAATGTACATCTTTATTTACCCATGCATAGCTGAATAATAAAAGTTCAGCAAATGGAAATGGCATACCATGAGCCTCAAACACCACTGTTTCCCTGTTTTATGTCAATTTGTTGAGTGTAAAATTCTTGTGAGGCGAGTCTGAGCAAAAAAACTGTGTTTTGTTGCACACAGGATCATTATTATGCACACCTCAGGCTGTTTAATTGGCCACATTTCTTAGTGAGATGACCATTTTTTCCCTTATTGTTAAGTTTATCTAGGGTTTTATTAAACTTTCTTTGTTTGTGGGACTCTATTTTAAAAAGGCAGGGGAGACAGGGAGACTATAATCTGCGACACTATGCTCCCTCACATCTTTACATTTGTTTTTCTATATGTTGCAAATGGATGTGGACAGGAGGCAAATAGTGGTACCAGTGCACACACACACTTAAACTATTTTTTAGAATGGGTTATTATGAGTGGTTCTCAGCCAGCCATCTGTTCACAGCACCTGACAATACAAAATGGGGCCTATATGGATAAAAATTTATTAAGCTCCACCCAGAAAAGACATAAGGTCTGTTTAACTGTACCATTTGTTAGTTTAATGTGTATCCGCTTGTTAAGAGGTGACGTGTTGGTGACGTACGTAATACTGTTTCCGGGTCCAAGAAATTATTAGTTTATGATCACTTTTAATATGATCACTTTTAATTTAATTAATCTCTTTCTGGCCATCAGATATTAGGCATGAACATATATATTGCAACGTGATTTTCGAAAGTATCAAATCGCTTTGTAAATATTTATAATTACCATTTCATGAGTCTCCCCATACAGTTGAATAAAGCGATTGGACCTGGAAGCCGCTTCGCGTGACGTCACACTTAACAAGCGGACATTGCACAATTTGATGTATATGTTTGTAATGAGGCAACAAGCACATGTAGACTGCAGAGTATACACTCACTGGCCACTTTTTTCAGTACACCTTACTAATACAGGGTTGGACCCCCTATTTTGCCTTCAGAACTGCCTTAATAATTCGTGGCATAGATTCAACAAGGTACTGGAAATGTTCCTCAAAGATTTTGATCCATATTGACTGGATAGCACTATGCAGTTGCAACAGATTTGTCAGCTGCACATCCATGATGCAAATCTTTCATTCCACCACATCCCAAAGGTGCTCTATTGGATTGAGTTCTGGTGACTGTGAAGGCCATTTGAGCACATTGAACTCATTATTATGTTCAAGAAACCAGTCTGAGATGATTTGCGCTTTATGACAAGGCGCGTTTTCCTGCTGTAAGTAGCCATCAGAAGATGGGTACACTGTGGTCATAAAGTGATGGATATGGTCAGCAACAATACTCAGGTAGGCTGTGGCGTTGACACAATGCTCAATTGATATTAATGGGCCCATAGTCTGCCAAGAAAATATCCCACATACTATTACACAATCACCACCAGCCTAAACTGTTGATACAAGTTAGGATGGAATTATGCTTTCATGTTGTTAATGCCAAATTGTGACCCTACCATCTGAATATCGCAGCAGAAATCAAAACTCATTAGACCAGGCTATGTTTTTCCAATCTTCTATGGTCCAATTCTGGTGAGTCTGCGAATTATAGCATCAGTTCCCTGTTCTTAGCTGACAGGAGTGGGACCTGTGTGATCTTCTGCTACTGTAGCCCATCCGCCTTAAGGTTTGACATGTTGTACGTTCACAGATGCACTTTTGCATGCCTCAGTTGTAGCGATTGGTTATTTGAGTTACTGTAGCCTTTCTATTAGCTTGAATCAGTCTGTCTATTCTCCTCTGACCTCTGGCATCAACAAGACATTTGTGCCCGCAGAACTGCCGCTCACTGGATATTTTATCTTTATTAGACCATTCTCTGTAAACCCTAGAGATGGTTGTGCATGAAACTCTCAGTAGATCAGCAGTTTCTGAAATGCTCAGACCAGCCTATCTGGCATCAACAACCATTCAACATCCTCTATATTACCTTTTTTCTCCATTCTGATGCTCGATTTGAACTGCAGCAGATCATCTTGATCATGTCTACATCCCTAAATACATTGAGTTGCTGCTATGTGATTGGCTGATTAGAAATTTAAGTTTTATTAGGTACACCTGTCCAAAAAACAGTTATACAGGTGAACCTAATGAAGTGGCTGGTGAGTGTAAGCGAACAATGTACGGTTATGCATTGTGTCATATCACTTAGCTCTTACTACTATTTTTCCTAATTGAATGGATGCGAATAAACTTACGAAATGATCTGATTATGTAGAGATTGATATTAAGTCCTGTCTGTGTTTTAATATATCATCACCTTGGAATTATAAGGTTCTATCTGCGTTCTGAATGATTTTGAGATATTGAGCTTCAAAGTTTTTGCATTCCATAGCAAACAGTGTGTGTGTGTGTAACATTTGTTTTTAAATAAAAAGTCTTAATGTAAACAACTTATAAAAAATCATCCCATAATGTAAATAAGTTGTCAATTAATAAAAATATGTTCATAACTCAATTTTGACAAAAATGTCACAACCTACCTTAATGTGACGATGTTGAAGCTTCAAAATACAACTATAACAAATCTCTGCTGGTCCTTTTTGTTGAGTATAATTTAAATTTAAACTATTTTTCATCCACAACACAACTCATATGCAAAATAGGTTACTCTGGTGGCTTAAAGATACAGGAGCTCCCTCTAGATCAAATAAACCAGCCACTTAATTTCAAAAGATTTAACAAGGCAACTTCTCAATTTGTTAAAATGAAGTGTGATTACTTTGCACATTTCAGAGTACATCACACTGTGTGTGTGCGCGTGTGTGTGTGTGTTTGTGTGTGTGTGTGTGTGTGTGTGTGTGTGTGTGTGTGAGAGAGAGAGAGAGAAAGAGAAAGAGAAAGAGAGAGAGAGAGGGAGCAAGCAGTGACACAAGCTGCAGAGAGTAAGTGCAGAGCTAATTAGTATTCACAACCACTATTTTGACCATTCCAAATATGGTCATAATGGAGCTTTTGTTTATAGTGGTAATTTGTGGATTTATAAATAAGCATATAAAACCATAACACATACCGACACATACCGTAGATATCAGTGCACATTTAACGTATCGAATGAATGCACTAAATGGCACCTTTTAGAAGAGAGAGCTCAGAGAGAGCAGCAGACCAAGCAATAGCTTCCTCCCATAATATCGCAGGGGTCATTTCATACCTATATGCTGTGTGCGTGAGTGCACTCATGTGGTTGCAGGGCTTATGTTCCTTTATGAGAACTGTGAGCTGACTTTTATTACTATGAGAGGTGAGGTGGGGGGAGGGTCTGTCGTTTTGATGGGTTCGAAAGGCACTCTGTTCATCTATAACAGCCAAGTGGCCTGTCATCAGAGACCATAAAACACAGCAGATGAAATAAAGAGATCAGCCATGTTGAGGGGAGCACTGGGCAGCCGTGCCAAGACTGCGTGTGTGACATTTTTCACTTTAATCCAAGGCTGCATGTGTGTGGGAGAACGTCTCTGTATGGCGCACACTTTTCATTATAACCCAAATGCGTTTCTACATGGTGTGAGACAGCATTATGCTGACCATAAAAATGTGAATTCATTGTGGTCTTCAGTCTTTTGCGGTTCTGGCCGGATGGTAGAGCAACACTGGCTTCATTTGATTGATTGGATACACCGCTAATATCTGCAAAGGTTAATCAATACTGCCTCCGGGGACTGGGGAGAATGTATCTCTGTGTGTGTGTTTCTTTTCGCAAGCTCTTGAGTTTTTTTTGAATTGCAGATTTTGAGGTGGGTAAGCATGCTGTCACATTTGAAAATGTTAATTTATGGGGTATTCCTGTATTGAAAACACAGGGAATGTTTCTGTTTAGGATTATTTCAGTATTTCTGCTTATTCTGATTGTCTGTTTCTTCCTTTTAGGCTCAACTCTATGCAAGGATCTGAGATTATACTTGAGCAAATGTTTCACACCAGGATCTATGGACAGTCAGCTCCAGCAGGTGATCCGAGAAAACCTCTACCTGAGAGCCGTGCCATGTGAGTACTCAAAAATGTATATATGTTGATTTTTTTTAAAAAAAAATTAAGGAACAATTTAGTAATTTACCTTTTAAATGTCTAAAGATGCATTCATGTACTGCTGACTGGTTATTATTAGAACTTTTGATAAAATTAAAATCACTGACATATAATATGGCAAATGCATGAAAAAAACTGTAACTGTAGTTCATCAATTAACTGTTTGAAGGCAGTCAGTGGCATATCTGTTGACCAACCCAGTGTTTTTCTTTGGGTAAAATAATTGAAAAACAAAAATAAATCTGTACAGATTGAGATTTGTTGGACAAGTGTGGTTTATTTATAAACTAATTTCGAGAGGAGCACGTGCTTATGATTGAACACTGGCACCGAATTAGCTCCATACATTCGCACCAATCAGATGAATACCGACACACTATAAATTACCAAAGCACTGTAGCACTGGGTAGCACTGTTGCCTCACAGCAAGAAGGCATGGGTTTTTCCCTTGTTCTCCGGTTTCCTCCCACCATGCAAAAACATACACAATAAGTAAATTGACTACTTCAAAATAGCATCCTAAGACAACACTTGGTCAAATATATCTCAGCAGTTCACAAGTGGGGGAGTTCTCAAGACCTACTGTACCTGAGCTCAAACTCTCCTCTTACCTTTCAAACGGGAGGGAGCCCCTGGCTTAAGCATATTCTGAGCTCAGGGCTCTCTCCCGGAACAGCATTCAACAGCATTTCAGCATTCTTGAAATAAATTTGTGTAATCTTGCTTAAGGATCTTTTTAACAATAAAGGACCATTTTACTTCCTAGAACTGAAAATATAAGTAATTTCCTTCACACTGCAGGAACTATAAACAATAATTATTAGATTACTGAATGAGGAGTTGATTAGTCTCCTCAAAAAAGTAGGTTCAATATTTTTTTCTGCAAGATATATTGTCATATAAATACAAATTCATCAGATGAAATCAGCTCTATTGGAAAAAGTTGTTAATTTAGATTGATTCTGGAATATTTTTATCACGCATTAAATATAATAAACTAATTGCATGTATGGTGGCACTGTCCCGCATTGGATAGTCTTGGCTGGGTCAGCCAAGCCTTGACATTTCTGTGTGGAGTTTGCATGTTCTCTCTGTATTGGTGTGGGTTTCCTTTGGGTGCTCCAGTTTCCCCCACAGTCCAAAGACATGCGTTTCTTTAGGTGAATTGGGTAAGCTAACTTTTCCGTAGTGTATTCCCTGGCAAGCCGAGAAACATAGTCCCAACAACAAGTCCTGGGTCTTCGTTGGGGCCTCAGGGACTTGTCTAAAACACCTACCTTTGTAGGTGTCCAGATGCCCAAGCCACCTCAGCTGGCTTCTCTCGATGTGGAGGAGCAGCGGCTCTACTCAGAGCTTCTCCTTGGTGACAGAGCTCTTATATCTGAGGAGAACCACTATCTCTGCTCTGCAAATAAATTCAGCTGCTTGTATCTGAGATGTTGTTCTTTCAGCCATGACCCAAAGCTCATGACCATCGGTGAGAGAGGAAATGTAGATGACATGGAAGATAGTCCTTGCCCTTGGTGGAAAAGTTTGAGTGTCTCGGGGTTTTGTTCATGAGTGAGGGAAGGATGGAACATGAGATGACAGGCAGATTGGTGCAGCAGCAGTAATGCGGTCGATGTATCGCCCTGTTGTGGTAAAGAAGAAGCTGAGCCGAAAGCTCTCAATTTACCAGTCAATCTACGTTCCTACTCAATCAGTTGTGCCCTTCAAAATTCCAGAAGGGCTCTTTAAAGTGACAAGCATTGAGTTGTTCTGTTTGAAAGAACACTTCAATATGTGATGAATGATTGTTTTTATTTTGAAGGGTGCTTGAACCCATTTGGAATGCACAGACAATAAAATCTATGCAAATATGTTGAAACTGATTGGAGCTTAAACCTGTGCAGGACACTGACTCTCCAGGAACAAGGCTGGCCACCACTTCTGTCATTAGTCAGAAAAGCCCAGAACTCGCATCACAGGTTGTGTTATTACTGTATCTGAGTGTTAAACATGCAGAGCTTTGTTTTGATTGTGCCTCTAGGTATCAACTTTGTCTCAGCTGTTTTTCCTCAAAAGCCCTTAGAGCAATAACAAAGAAACAAATGAGAGACTATTTATAGTGACCTTTCAGTTTGTGCTAGTCATTATTTGTATGCAGTGAGAAAATGGGAAAATGTTTATATGAATAGCCTTAATTAGTTTGCTTTGTGGATTTGAAGAATCAAATATATTCCACCTGACAAAATCTTGTCGTCGTAAGAAGTGTGTGAGTTACTACCGTCAGTTTATCACTGACTGTGTCAGGAATATCAAAACAAAACTAACTTAACTCCGCTCCTTTAGCACCCCTTACAGAGTTTGATCCATACTGGCTTTTCTCCTCTTGGTTTTTGGTTTTGAAAAGGGAAAAATTCCACTATTCCGTCTAAACTTTAAGGATCCAGAGAGTCTGATTTGCACAATCCATGTGCAAAAGGCTCTGGTCTGTTTCCCTTGCTCGAAATCTTGACAGAGCCCCTGCGCGTAGTTACGGTTGCTAAGCCACGATTGGTGGATGGCGGTTTTTGGGTGTGTCTTAGCGAAGGGTCAATTGTGTTTTGAACTGAACCTAAACTGGCACACTCAGAAGAACCATAATATTAATATTTAATCTTAAAAAAGAGATAATCTAGGCACCCTTTAACTAACATTAACATGTGGCCTGTATTCTAAAGTGTGACCGACAAATGCGAGTGAAATTCTCAGTTAATTACATTTTAATTTGATTTCATGTGCAATTTTTCTTTTCTATGGTTAAACACACACTTAAAAACACTTAAGTTTGAACAGCTGTATAAACTCCTTGAAAACGAACTTGTTATTTCATGCAACAGCGCCTAACATCTTGCACATAGGCTGATGGAGCTCAAGGTTGTGCAGTTTTTCTGATGAAGTGTTAATTGGGGTGTGATCCATTTATTAGCAAGCAGGTGTTGACAGCTCCAACTGCTTTTACTGCGACAAGAAAGAAGGATGTGAGAGAACCAAAGAGTGACAGAGAAGGGGGAAGGTAAATGATACAGTGATATAGAAATGAAATAGTTACATCAGATATGACATTTCGATGATTTATTACACAACACCCTCATGTCATTCCAAACCCAACCTGCATTTTTGAGAAATGTTTGAAGTTTGAAATTGAAGCCAAAATGTGCAGTGTTCTGAATGAAAGCCAGGTTTATGAACTGTTGAATGCCACCTTATAACATTTCCACGCTTTTCACGCTCTTCAATCGTCTCTCTTTCACATCTTCTTTTCCGCTCAACTCCCTGTTGCTTAGTTTTTTTTTCTGTGCCCTTTATCCTGAGCTTTAAAATCCTAATTATATTTTGCGTAATTTCTTTCCCATTTTAATCTTTGTGCCGCGATAAGACACAGATTTGGATTAACCTCCATCAAAATCATAAGCTTTTGTTAAGTAGATGAAGTTCTGCTCGTTTTTTTTACAGTGGAATTATTGCCAGACATTGTATAAGGAGGGCAAAACAAACATGTGTTTCAGAGAAAACAAATACTTTGATTAATGAAACCAGAAGACAGTAAACACATGGTCTATAACAATATAAGATTTATTCATGATCTTTAAGCCATCTTGGTATGTGCATAAGGATAATATTTTTCTATTTTCCAATGCAAATCAACATAACCTTTATAACTATATAAACTACTGTAAAAGAATAGCTATTTTAAACAATTGACACAATAGTTGGCAGTTCTGGGCTCAATCTGCCCAGTTGGTGGAATGAACTCCCTAACTGCATCAGAACAGCAGAGTCACTCGCTATTTTCAAGAAACGACTAAAAACCCAACTATTTAGTCTCCACTACACTTCCTAATCTGCAATTGCCTCTCAGAATATCACACTAACTGTACAAAAAAAAAACTAATACTACTAATACTTCCCTTCTTAGACTTTACAGACCTGAAACTTGTCTATAGCACTTATTCATTGTTGCTCTTGGTTGTGTAAATTGCTTCCTTGTCCTCATTTGTAAGTCGCTTTGGATAAAAGCGTCTGCTAAATGACTAAATGTAAATGTAAATGTAAGTTCATTCCACTGTGGTGACCCCTGATAAATCAGGGACTAAACTATGCAATAAATGAATGAATGAATTGATACAACAACATGAGTTTGGAGTAAAAAATAAGCTGTTCTCATAAATTGTTGTACTTGATTACTATATGCTAGTATATTGCTATATGCTAGCTTCCACTGTAGTCTCCCCTGTTAAGTGTAATTGTTTATTTAGCATTGGAATGCATTGAAACTTTCAGATTCATTGGTCAGTGATGAATGTGACCAATACAGAGAAGTTTTTGTACACTGTAAAGATTATATGATCAAAAAGTCATAACAACTTATGTTTTTATGTAAATGGTAGTTAATTAATCTGGTTTCAGATCACTTTGTTTTTTTAATTTGTTATGACCCTTGATGGAAATATGTCTAGAAAATTAAAAGGAGTAACATTGAGATGACCAAGAGTATAAACTAATGGTAAAGGTGGCAGGAGAAACACAAAACAACAAGTTTAGCACTGCAAAAGATTTATTTCTCCCACAAACCATATATTTACAATATATGCAAACAGTAATTATATAATAATAAAAAAAATTAAAGAAAAAAAAACACGTTGGAAAATCAAAGAAAGATATATAACAAAAATATTCCCACATTGTAAAACCCAAAAAGTGAAGGTAACAAACCGTTTGAGGAAACTGAGTTCAACAAACCATTTAAGTTCAAAAACTAACCCTAATGAGTACTGTGAACTTGATTCATTTGAGTAAAAGAAGCAATTTGAGCACAGTAAAACCCAATAAATGAAGAGAACTCAAACCAACTGAGTACTGTAAAACCCATTAAGTTAAGGCAACTCAAACTGTTTAAGAAAACCGATTACAACAATCCATTTGAGTAAAAAAAA